CAGGAGGGAAGAAGGAAGCCTGGAACCTCAGACTTACATCAGTCTTGACCAGCCAGCTGCCACTGGACCCCATGGAATCAATCCTCATGCACCCAAAAGGTAAGGAAATAGGAAGGTGGCTAAAATTATGTTAATTGTCACTTATAGGATGTGTGTGTATGTGTAGCTCATTGTTTGTGTGTGTCAGAGTTTATCTGCACCTGTGGGTCTGAGTGTGTGTGTGTATCTGCGTGTATCTGTATGTGTGTCAATGTGTGTATGTTTACCTGTGTGTTGGTGTGTGTCTGAGTGTGTGCATGTCTATGTCAGTGTGTGTTTCTGTGTCTTTGTGTGTGACAGTGCATCCCAGCTTCCAAATGCCAAAAATAAAACAACACAGAAATGCACCCCTACATTTAAACACTACACACAAACACAGCCCAGCATTCAAACGCCAGTACTTCAAACACACCCTTATATTCAAACGCACACACTACACACAGACATACTACTGCATTCGCCAATACTACGCACAGATATACCCTTGCATTCAAATGTCAACGCTACTAACAAACACACCCCTGCATGCAAACACCAACACTATACACAAATACACCACTGCATGTATCTGACAACAGTACATATAAACACACAACTGTATACTAACGTGAACACTACACACAAATACTTCTTTTTATTGTTGTAAGAGAATAATAAACAAAATTGGCACTATGTGAAATTATAAACTGTGTCAATTATTTTCTTGTTTGTGTGTGAGTGTGTGTATATATATATATATAAATAGTTTATGCATTTGGCCCTTTTATGCAAGTCGCCCTCTAGGGTGACGACGTTAAAAAAATGGGAGAAAGATCTAAAAATACAAAAAATTGATGGACAGGACTGGAATAGAGCATTGCTGACAGTTACTAGGCGCATTAAATGCCTAAATTTAGTGGAGCTACATTTTAAGATCATTAACAGACTCTATTTGGTTCCTAGCCGTCTAAACAAAATAGACCAGAGTAAAACAGGTATATGCTGGAGATGTGATCTGGGAGTGGGAGATTGTGTACATATTTGGTGGAGCTGCCCCCCACTTAAAGAATTTTGGAAAGTGTTCTTGTCTAAAATGGAAATGGTAACCGGATTTAACTTTCCCCTTGCCCCGGAAATGCTTATATTACATTTAAATATTTATCAGTATAATGTAGATTTACAACACTTTTTCACCCACGCATTAATAGCAGCAAAGATTTCCATAGCTAGAAGGTGGAGAACTAAAACTCTACCAACCTGGGACATAGTAAAAAATCTACTAACTTCACAACTTAGGATGGAGGGAGGTTTGAAAAGAAACCTGAAGAAAAAAAAAATATTTCACATAAATAAGTGGTTAAAAAATTGTCGGCAGTAGATTAATATACATAGAAGAGGAAGGGAAGAAAAAAGGAAGAGAAAAGAGAAAAGGGAGAAATGGGGAAAAAAAGGGGGTTGGGTGGTGAAGAGAAAAGAAGAAGGGAAAAAAAAGAGAAAAAATTCTAGCTCATATATTAGTATTATGAATAGCAATGCAGAGAGACCAGGGAAGAAGGTTTCATCATCGTGTGTGAATGCTGTGTATGTCTGCTGTATGTTTTAGTTTTCTCTTTGTTAATTAGTAATATTAAGGTTTTTTTTTATAAATTAAAGTCATTTAAACAGGAAAAAGAGGGGAGAGAAAACATTGATGATGACTAATACACCAATGCCTGAGATGCAGAAAGCTTGAAAGAATATGAGAGGCTGGTAGCGTCGGAAATGGTAATAAAAAAAACCCCAAACCATTGGCACTATATGAAGTTATAAACTGTGTCAATTATTATCTTGTTTGTGTGTGAGTGTGTATATATAATTAATAATGGTAGTCCAGTTATTTCTCCAACTAGAACAATAAGTGCTATAGGTCACCATGTGATCCCCAGAGCTGGACTGGCCCCTTAACAGGGTACAGCCTGCACCCCCCTGATGGTTGCCCTGCATGAATGATGCCTATGATTGGTTCGGGAAACATCAGCCCCGTCTCCAATGGTGACAATAGTTTAAGGAATCCAAGTTATGTAGCAATATTAAAAATATAAAATGTTAGAAAGTAATATGGGCCAAGAAATGAGGTCAATGTCTATATAAATATAAAGCTTAAAGCAAGCCGATAATATAATCTCTAATGGTTTCTAGACAGGAGATCGTCTATAATTCAAGTTGATATCAGGTGCAGAGGGGGCTATTACGATGCATTACACACATCTGTGCATTAAATCTATGCCCTAAAAAATAGGACAGACAGTGAGTTTAAATGTATACAGGCTGCTGGATCCAAGGGAAATTAATCTAAATTAATGTACAACTAATGCAGGCTCGGGTATCAAAGAGCCTTTTGTTATGGTCATGTATCATGGTCGATAAAATGAAGTGATTAACACTGCTACACAATTGCTATAACATGTCCCATTCCACCTCCTACTCCAGCCTACGACGTGAGATCTATTTGTGTGTAGAAAGCTCTTGGCAGCTGAGCAGACACTCTACTTTTGGATAATTATTATTATTATAGTATAGTGGCACAAAAGGTAAGGGTAGAAAAGTAGGTTGGTTGTTGGTTGAATAGTATGCACTGAAGACTTAGTGTTTATTTATTGTTTTAATGACAGTTGCAGAAGGGGAATCATGATGTGTGTGTGGGCCCGGGGGGGGGAAGGAGAGATATTAACAATTTAGTTGATTTGCAATCATGAAGAAGTAAGTTTTCAATATTTATTTTAAGAAATGGAGACTGGGTGAAAAGGGAAGGTAGTTCCACAGGTACTAACAGAGAAGAAAAGGAGTTCCACAGCCATTGAGAAGAGTTTAAGGTAAGCATCAGAGGTGGGAGTGGAAATAGAGGATAGACGTAGTACTTTGCCAGAGCATAAAAGCCTAGATTTTATATACTTGTGTAGTGAGGATAGATAGGTTGGAGGAGCATTATGTAGAGATTTGTACGCAAGGAACAGAATTTTAAATTGAGCTCTATATCTTATGGGAAGCCAATGCAGGAACTGACAGAGGTGAAGCTGTGGGAGGTGCAGGCAGACAGGAATATGAGCCTCGCCACCACATTATAGACTGTAATGGGGCAAGTTGGGCACATGTAAGAACACTGAAAAGCGGATTGCAGTAATCAAGGCGAGAGAGGACAGTGGCATGGACCAGCATGTTAGCTGCATCTGGCTTTGAGTATGGACGGATGCACACTATGTTTTTGCGATGGAAGAGGCAGAATTGGTCATTGCATTTATTATAATATGGTCATTTCAAAACCAGCACAAATCTCAAAATAAACATTTATATCTTGTAGTTTTGTCTTACTTGACAAGATGTTGGGGACCACCTTGTGTAATTTTGTGGGGTCTGAGTAACCTCTACCTTTCAATGTAGAGGAGATAAAATATTTTCGCTATATTCTCAGTGTTTTCTTTCTGCTGATTTCATTGCTCTGTTGATTGATAAGCTTTCTGCTTTCATCTTCCACTTAGCAGCCTGGAGTCAGGCACAAGCTATTAGTGACATTGTACTTGGATTTTCGTGTAAATAAAAAAATATATTTAAAAGTCACTGCTTAATTAAGGGGTTCTTTTCTATGCAGTACGAATATGACACAACATGTGACAAACACTTAGACCTGTACATACCTTTTGGCGCATTTTTACGCACTACATAAATATGCATATTTTATTTGGAGAGAATCTAGAGTTCTTGTGATTTGAGATAATAGAATATTTTACTTTCTCTAGAGTGGGGCCAGTGGCATCTAGTGGTGAATATGCATCATTACATATCACAAGACTGACTTACGGTTGCAAAATGAATATGTAAAAATGCTATTTCAAGGCTTACAGATCACCTTGATATATGCTCAATGGAGGCTTCATGTTATTCAAACTAAAATGATTTATTCTGAATAAAGAAAAAGAGAGGCATATAGATTTCCTTACAAAGCAACCCTGGAAAAAATACCTTCCAGCTCCATAAGTCATTGTGCCATGTTGTGTGTGAGTGTGTGTGTATATATATATATATATACATATATAAAAACACAACTCACTGATACACACAAATAGGCACACTGACACACACACACACAAGTTCACTACAGACAATCTCACTGACACACACACAAACTTAGCACAGACAAACTGGCACACACACAAGCTTACTACAGACACACTCTCATGTATACACATAGAAGCTTACTAAAGACAGACTCATTGATATACAAACATAAGCTTACTACAGATAAGTGTATTGTCACACACACACATGCTCACTACAGACAAGCCCAGTGACACACACATGACCACTATAGACAAGTTTGCTGTCACACACATGCTCACTAAAGAGAAGCTCACTGACACCCACATGCTCGATACAAAAAAGCTCACTGAGACACACACTCAATACAGACAAGCTCACTGACACACACACATGCTCACTACAGACAAGCTCACTGACACACACTCACTACAGACAAGCTCACTGACACACACATACAAGCTTACTACAGACAAACTCACTGACACACACACACACACTTGTCTTTTACACATACAAACTCACTAAAGACAAGTTCACTTACAAACACACATGCTCACTACAGAAAAGCTCTCTGACACACACACAAATGCCCACAGACACACACATGTGCACTGCAGACAAGCTCACTGACACACACACAAGCTCACTGCAGACAAGCTTACTGACACACACAAGCTCACTGACATACACAAGCTCACTGCAGACAAACTCCCTGATGCACACATGCTCACTACACACAAGCTCACTACATACAAGCTCACTAACACACTCAAGTTTACTACAGACAAACTCACTGATGCAAACACGCTCACTACAGACAGGCTCACTGACACACACATGCTCACTGAACAAGCTCACTGACACACACACATAGCTCACTACAGACAAGATCAGGAAGGGAGACTCAGTAAAACAAATCTAGGACTGATTTATTCACAATATCAAGTCATTATTATAAACAGGTGTGATAAATTTATTAAGTTACATCAGATTATGGTTAAGGCAATCAGTTGTACAATGCAGGCCAAATCAGGTTATGTACTGCACCCAACATTCAAAGGAATAAATCCAGTACGATTATGCAACCCATGCTTCCAATAACAAGATTTCTAGCCTATAGGACATTCCTCATCTCATTGCACATGCAATCAAGAGAGATAAGGTTGGCAAAAAGCATACTAAAGAATATAAACCTATGGACTGATTAACTTAATGTTTTGTTACTTCCATGGGTGGAAGACATATTAATGTATATACCATATCCACCTCCTTTAGTAAATACTATACCAAACTGTAATTAACCTGTTAATGCCTGTGACGAAGTGCCCTTCGCCACTTGTGCCTGGAGAGGACTGCTTGCCCGCCTCTTGCCCTGTGACTATGGCCCCTGGGATGTATAGCCCTTTAAAGACATGATTTGGGCATAATGGATTTGTGTTGTGCTGCTGCTGGCCCTTTAAGAACCATCTGGGGACATACTGTGGAGTTACTGGGTGGCCACCATTTCCTGTATCAGAAGCACATGGTGAGAACAATGGATGGCGGCCATTTTAACTCACAGACACTGTGTGGACTTTTCAACACGGTGCCATCTCGCCAGTATTTGTTGCACAGAGACATCGTGCGGTGGTTTTGGACTATACAGCAGGGGACACATTATACAGTGATTGTTTTTTATTTAGCCTGTATATGTTCTGCAGAATCTGCATTAAACTGTATTTTCCAAAGTACTGAACGGATCTGGGTGAATTTTGGATATGTGGTTCACCCAGATCCCCCGGTTCCAAGGATATACTTTTATGGGGTTATTGCATGTTTTGGGGTCCCTGTGTGTTTTATGAAACTGTATTATTTCTGGCCAGCAGATAATTGAGCTTTGTGTATTGTAGAAACTCAATTATCTAGCCTGGCCCAGAGGAGGAGTTTTGTGTTGCATAAATTGTGAGTTCTGTGTGCCAGTAAATCAGTCTTGTTCCAGCATTAAGCCTTGGCTCATGTTTGGGGGAAGGGATACCTACACTCTGGGGATTGCTATAATCACTTACTCCCCAGAGGAAGCTCTTGCAATAGCTTGATTTGTTCCTGTTCCTGCTCTCTGGGGAAAGAGAGGTTCACCCACTGGAAGCTGGATCCTGGCCTTGGGTCCAGGGTGGGTGGAGACAGCAGAGACCCCGGCGCAGTTGCATCGCTGAAAGTGGGGTCTGCAGTGCTGATGGTGTCGGTTGGAGTGCTTGGAGTCCTCAGCGAGCACTAGGAGCATCGATTGGCGGAGGTACTCAGTCGGAGTGCCAGCGTTCCGTCACATTTGGTTGCAGCGGTGGGATGGCGTCCTAGTGCGAGGACCAGCAGCTCGGAGACACCGGTAACGTGTGGAGTTACGGATTTATAATTGAGGGCAACACTAGCCTCTGCGCAGCGTCCATACCTACAGCAACATGGAGCTAGCAAGACCCTGGACAGCAGCCAGTGAATTGCAAATCCGCCTGTCACAGTGCTATGAGGGTGCTGATTTCATGAAGGAAGTAAAGGCGTGGCTGGTCTGGTTTGGCCCAAACCCTTCAGATGAGGTGGTCCATCAAGTGATGCGCATGTTGAGTGCTGAGAACCAAGACACACGGAACTTCGAGTACCAACTGTGGAGTTTGGGGGTATTGACACCCCGTCTCCAGCGACAGAGTGAGTTACAGGGAGAGGAGAGCAGCGACCTCCCATCCCAGCGGCAGTGCACCGTACAGAGGGAAGAGACAACCGGTCTCTCTCCCCAGCGGCGGCCTGAGTTCCAGGAGGAGGTGATGGTAGATCCCTCCCCCGTACAGCAACCAGCGTCCTGGGGAGGGGAGGCAACCGGCCTCCCTCTCCAACAGCAGCCGGAGGTGGGCAACCTCATAGACTTGTCCTGGGGACACACAGAAATGGCAAGCGGAGATGGGACCGAAGTCTCTCTGCCGGCCCTACAGGGATGCTGGGCAGTCAGCCTAGGTCCCCAGCGGCAGTATAATATACAGGGAGAGGAGACAACTGGTCTCTCTCCCCAGCGGCAGCCTGAGTTCCAGGAGGAGGTGATGGTCAATCCCTCCACCTTACAGCAACCAGCATCCTGGGGAGTTGGGGCAACCAGCCTCCCCCTCCAACAGCAGCCAGAGATACCGGGAGAGGGGGAAGACAAACCTACCCACACTGGCGCAGATGGGACCGCGGTCTCTGTGCCAGTCCTACAGGGAGGCTGGACGGGCGGTCCAGATCCCCAACCAACTCCGCAGGGATGCCAGGAGGAGGAGGTAAGTGAAACTTCCCCTCCCCAGCTACATCCCAACCGGGTCCTGGGGGCAGTGGATGAGCCTGCGATACCCACTGACCCCCTCCCAACAGAAGAGCTGGCATCTGGGCAGAGCTCTGTTAGCCTCGCCCCCCCCTTTTCCCCTGTATCAGAGCCTGACTTACCACGGGTTACCCCAGTGGAAGAGCTGGCAGCAGGGCAGAGCGCCGCTGGCCTCTGCCCCCCAAGCAACACCAGCAGTTTGCCTAGCTGCACCAGGGAGACCGAGAATGCTGCGCTGTCCCACTACAAACTTGAACCTACAGGCCAGTACCATTTATTGTGGGGGGTTACTCTGCGTATTTTTCTTTGTGGGTGGGCTGCCCGACTAATCTAGGTACTGACCGGCAGAAGGTCAGGTACCTGTTTAGTCTTCCCCCCAAAGGGAAGATGTGTGACGAAGTGCCCATTGCCACTTGTGCCTGGAGAGGACTGCTTGCCCGCCTCTTGCCCTGTGACTATGGCCCCTGGGATGTATTGCCCTTTAAAGACATGATTTGGGCATAATGGATTTGTGTTGTGCTGCTGCTGGCCCTTTTAAGAACCATCTGGGGACATACTGTGGAGTTACTGGGTGGCCACCATTTCCTGTATCAGAAGCACATGGTGAGAACAATGGATGGCTGCCATTTTAACTCACAGACACTGTGTGGACTTTTCAACACGGTGCCATCTCGCCAGTATTTGTTGCACAGAGACATCGTGCGGTGGTTTTGGACTATACAGCAGGGGATACATTATACAGTGATTGTTTTTTATTTAGCCTGTATATGTTCTGCAGAATCTGCATTAAACTGTATTTTCCAAAGTACTGAACGGATCTGGGTGAATTTTTGATATGTGGTTCACCCAGATCCCCCAGTTCCAAGGATATACTTTTTATGGGGTTATTGCATGTTTTGGGGTCCCTGTGTGTTTTATGAAACTGTATTATTTCTGGCTAGCAGATAATTGAGCTTTGTGTATTGTAGAAACTCAATTATCTAGCCTGGCCCAGAGGAGGAGTTTTGTGTTGCATAAATTGTGAGTTCTGTGTGCCAGTAAATCAGTCTTGTTCCAGCATTAAGCCTTGGCTCATGTTTGGGGGAAGGGATACCTACACTCTTGGGATTGCTATAATCACTTACTCCCCAGAGGAAGCTCTTGCAATAGCTTGATTTGTTCCTGTTCCTGCTCTCTGGGGAAAGAGAGGTTCACCCACTGGAAGCTGGATCCTGGCCTTGGGTCCAGGGTGGGTGGAGACAGCAGAGACCCCGGCGCAGTTGCATCGCTGAAAGTGGGGTCTGCAGTGCTGATGGTGTCGGTTGGAGTACTTGGAGTCCTCAGCGAGCACTAGGAGCATCGATTGGCGGAGGTACTCAGTCGGAGTGCCAGCGTTCCGTCACAATGCCGTTAGGGCGTACTATGACACCCTGCACAATATGAGCTTACACAAGGTAAGAGTGGCATAGTACGCCCTAATGGCCGGTAGTCTCGTAGCCAATCTGTCCCATCCAGGCCATTATGGGGGGGAGGAGGGGATAATTACTCATAATTACACATGCTAAACATGTAACAGTTAAGGAAAAAAGTCCCAACCTTGCCCCTCTCTTTCTCAACCGCACCTAGATCATGCCTTTCCTACCCTTCAGACTTTCTTCCTGTCTACTGAACAAGAGATGGCTGCACTTCTCCTTTCCTCTCGCCCCACCACTTGCCCACTTGATTCTGTACTGTGACCTTATCAGATCGCTCTCCCCCTTGCCCTTGACAAACAGGATTGGGGCGCAACCGAAACAAGCATTCTACAGGAATGGTGCTGCTGTAGTGACCAATATAAATAAATGATACAAATTAAGTTACGGTGCACACATAAAAAGACACCAATAATCTTACCAGGATACTTAAAATCACCTAAGAAAACAAATATGGGGATTGAGTTCCACCACATGGCCATATTGTGTTAAGCCCACCACTGCTTCACAGTACCCCAATATCAGTGGGTCCTACACTAACTCCAAATGTGGGAGACAAATTAAATAGTGCTAAATAAGCTAAAGTGTATGAGGTTTTTGAATAGTAATGTCACTTTTATTATAACCTTCATTTGGCACATATTGATTTGCATTGTGAGTATATTCATCCAAGCACTAACACTTTAATTGTTTAGTTTTGTATACACAATGCTCTTACAATAGATTAACCTAATACAATTTACCGTATTTAGCACTAGCTGCCATACTGATTTTCCTCTCTAGTCGCTCCTCTTACACCACTCTGTCAGTCTTTACATTGGCTTCCTGTATCTTGTACCCTGGAGGGATTTCCTCAAGATCCTGGGTCGAAACGTCGATCGGGACAAATTTTATGCAAATATTTAAATAAACCACGTTGAAAAGACCTGAGAGTGCACCCTTTTCTTTGGTTTATATGTATATGCAGGTTGCACCAAGGCAAATTATCAGGATTAAAACTCTACCAGGGGTGAGTGCCAAGACATCTTATAGATATGTATTATTATTTGATTTTATTATTTATACTTTGAGGGACTTGCCTGACAACCCAGGCAGAAAGTCCGGAGCATTTAATTTGTAAGCCCTATATTTAACCCAGGAACTGTATAAAACACCTAAAAACAGTAAACGTATCGTTACAATGATATCATTAGGGAAGAAAAATATGAACACTAACTTTGGCCAGGGCTTGTGACTAAGTGTCCACTAAAAAAGACTGGGCATACCCCATTCATTTTGTCTGCTTTTGCAAATGGCATGTCATGATGCTGGGTAATTCTCATTCCTGGGCAGTTTCAGAATCAACCAATCTGGCAAATTTTAATGTGTAAAAACGGAAATGGACAAGTCTTATACTTGACCCTGTAACTTTCCAAAACACCAACCAACTTGGACATGGGGATACTGTTTCTTATGAGATATCATACACTGCACATTACTGTGAGTTTTATTGCTGTGGAGCTCTGTGATCCACTCACACACTGCACATTACTGTGAGTTGTATTGCTTTGGAGCTCTGTGATCCACACATACACTGCTCATTACTGTGAGTTGTATTGCTGTGTTATTCTGTATAGTGGGGTCATGTTTGAGGTTCTCCAGCCTTCTCCTTGTTATTTCCTCTGACCAAATATCAGCTTATCTCCTGCCCCCTCCATGGTATATAAGATATACTTAGGGACCTCTGCTACTTTTTAAGGAATTGTTTGTTTTTTGTTTGTTCTGTCCAGCAACAGAAACTATCTGGTGGCCACTGTGGATTCCTGAACACCCTGGCTTGTCCAATACAAAGAGTTCCAGATAACGAAGATGAAGTAAGTTGCCCAGAGGTATGTACCACTTTTTTGCTTCTTATAGGACTGTGTTATGATGTGCTGTTCATATTGGACGCCAGTGTGTATGGGCTTTTGGCAAAACACATAGAAAAAATAACCTAAGCACAAAAAATTTTAGAAGATGAACCTTCATTCTGATATTTTGTTTAGACTTGTCACCCTGATAAAATGAGATTTATAGTTTTTGATGGAATACTGGGTGGATTCCTGGGAATTCCTTAATAGTGTCTGCCACGTGTCTTGCTCGTCTTGATCTTCTGGCGGAAGTAGAAGCTACAGAAAACGAAAGCCAGGAGAATGAAGACAGATGACAGGCGGGTTCCCAGGAAAATCCAGGCCAATGATGATTTTGATATATTGGTGATGTTACTCGGACAGAAGCAAACAAATGATGTTTGTGGTGTCATTGTTGTGTTGAAGTCTTGAAAATCTAAAACCAAATAAAAGATACAGGTAATCCTGTGACACTTTCTCAACTCTGATAGTTTAAATAAGACTTGTGCCACCATAAGGTGGATCTAGCCAGTACTCCGCTAAGAGGCCTGGTCGAACACTGGAGCCTGCATGGTGGTTCACTCTAATGCTATTTAATGCAGTTGGATAGACAGAAATGTCTCAGCTAATTGTATATAAATAAAAACATACTAAGGGACAATATCCTTTACCGAGCTGTACTTACAACTCTCGTTCTAACCATGTCTGGTTATGTCAGGCCATTTACTCCCAACACATACAGGAAGTCCAAGTGGAGAGAAGAAGAATCCTGAGTACAGCCTGTAGCACTGGAGCTGTGTATTTGGTTTCTGTGTGTCTTGTGTATAGGTATCTGGGTGTCTGGCAGTGTGTATTGGTAACTGCATGTGTCTGTGTGTCCATCAGTGAGTAACTGTGTGTCTGTGAGTGTGTCTAGAAATACATAGCCTTAAGAGTGTCATTTCTGTGTCTGGATGCATGTGTGTGAGTATATCTGGGAGTTCTCTGTTATCCTAAAGTGTGGTACCATGTGCCATGTTTATATTATAGAAATGAATAGGATGTTACCCTGTCTTTACATACCGCTCTCCAGCACAGTGACGGTGATGGTAACGGAGTCAGACTGAGAAGCATCATATATCGTTACTCTATATTTTCCACTGTCTTTCTTTTGCAGTCGGTTAATGATTAGAGACCCATTCTCTGGCACGACACGCATCCTTCGCTCATAACCGCTTGATGGGAAATGTGAGGTAGAGTTTTCCTTTTTGGTGCATACGCCGAGAGTAGTGGGCGAAGTCCCGTCCAATTCCCATTTTATCCGGAGAACATCCTTTGGATTGGTCAGACTGTAGGATGTGGACAGAACGACAGAGCTGCCCTCATATTCATCTATAGATAACTGGCTGGCAGAAATGGAAAGAGCACAAACCGAACCTAGGAGAGAGTGAAAAATTAAGAGAATAAATAATTGTATTTTAATGTTCATTCTAAGTGCATAACCAACCTCTCAGATAGCCAGGTTTGCAGAGTCCCCAAACCTCGGGCCACTTACCCTGCTTGAAAACCAACCTCTCCGTCCTAAACACAGCATGTCTAAGATGTTTTTCTTTGGTTTTGCAAGTGAAATATATTCATCCTTACACTTTCCAGCTATGTAAAACAAATCTCCTGCCATACATGACCAAAAAACACTCCACCAAACTCCATCACTGGACCACCAGGGAATCATTATTATCACTTGCTAGGCCACCAGGGAATCATTATCATCACTTGCTGGATCACCAGGTAATCATTATCATCACTTGCTAGGCCACCAGGGAATCATTATCATCACATGACCAGGGAATCATTATCATCACTTGCTGGACCTACTGGGGAATCCTTATTATCACTTGCTGGACCACCAGGGAAGCATTATTATCACTTGCTGCACCATCAGGGAAGCATTATTATCATTTGCTGGACCACCAGGGAAGCATTATTATCACTTGCTGGACCATCAGGGAACCATTATTATCACTTGCTGGACCTACTGGGGAATCATTATTATCACTTGCTGGACCACCAGGGAAGCATTATTATCACTTGCTGGACCACCGGGAAATCATTATTATCACTTGATGGACCTCCGGGAATCTTTATTATCACATTAGCAAAAAAGGAAAGCAGAAGAGGGGACAGAACACACATCCAGCCAATACACATTATATTGCTTTTTTGCAGTGGAGCTCTATGATACTGTTGTGCAAAATTCACATTACTCTTGGGGGTTTTTTTTAGCAATGGAGCGCTGTGATAAACCACTATGAACATTACTGGTACTTTTATTGTGGAGGAGCTCTGTGATCCACTCATACACAATGCACATTACTGTGAGTTTTACAGCTGTGGAGCTCTCTGATCCACTCGTACACACTGCATATTACTGTGAGTTTTACAGCTGTTGAGCTCTGTGATACCCCCATACACACTGCATATTACCGTGAGTTTTATTGCCGTGGAGCTCTGTGATCCACTCATACACACTGCATATTACTGGGAGTTTTACAGCTGTGGAGCTCTCTGATCCACTCGTACACACTGCATATTACTGTGAGTTTTACAGTTGTGGAGCTCTGTGATACCCCCACACACACTGCATATTACTGTGAGTTTTACAGCTGTGGAGCTCTCTGATCCACTCGTACACACTGCATATTACTGTGAGTTTTACAGCTGTGGAGCTCTGTAATGTGGTAGCTCAGTTTATATATAATACATAATACTGCGTATCATTTTGCCTGTAGTATTTGCACGTATCCAACTGGAAGACAGTTAGCAGTAATTGGTTTAATATGCTTATTTATGAATGACCGCTGTTTCACTTTCTATTTACAATATACTGTGTGAATTTAAACCTGAGCTCGGTATGAGTCCCCTTACCTGGGATACTGAGGGTATTATAATGATC